GACTCCATTAACATCCATGGTTGTCACAAAGCCAGAAGACAATGAAGAAAAGGAAGCAGTTGCTGACAAACCCACAGAAGGTACAGATATTGTCATTAGGACTTTAATCTGTCTGTCTTTTAGTGTTTTGGGGGCAATATTCAAAATAATCACAGTTGAACTAGTCAAGAATATCCTGGAGCAACAGGTAGTATGCTTTCCCCTTAGATCGGTAGAGGAAAGCATGAATTTTGTGGTATGAGCTTTTCAGCAGCATCTGCACACAGGCCAAAGGGGGATCTGATTGATGTCAGCAGCATCATGGCATGGCAATACAAGGTTCACCTCTTTTCTACATACATTTTGATATTACATGTATTCCCCAAAGGAGAAGAACTTGAGAAGAACAATCTCAGAATGTAGCTTTTGTTATCTTTTATTCTTATTTTTTACATTTTAAGTTTAATATTTTCAAAAATACAGTTTAAAAATTAAACAAACAAACAAACAGTAGAAATGAAATTTTTAGCAATCTCTTACTACAGTAAGGTTTCTCAATGTGTGGACTTCAAATGCCAGAATTCCCCAACCTGTTGCTTAGATTAAGAAAAATAAATTAAAACCAGTCGCACCAGCTATGGCAACTTTAAGATCTGTGGACTTCCTTGATGACTGGGTAATTCTGGGATTTGAAGTCCATATTCTGAAAGTGGCCATGGTTGAACATCCTAGCTTTAGGACCACAATGGGTTATACTAAGTTTATCTACTCCCTTACCATTCTTGTTCTTTCATTTGATCGCTTCCTTCTCAAAGGAAGTTGTAGCATGAAGCCCATCTTGAAATGAAAGAATTGCAAACTGAAATGTATCATCCCTATCAGATGAAATTAAAGGAAATAAAATCGTCATGCTGCTGCTTTGCTAAATAACTGCATGACATGAATCAATGGAGGAAGGGAAAGGGCGTGATTTTATGTATAAACTATATGTTATAATATGAGTATTTAGAAAAGATTTTGGGTCAAGCCCTTTTAAAAGGAAGTAGCTGTTTATTTGAATTAGCTTTTAGAAAAAATAAAAAGAGACATGTAATTGACATTGTGTGCACCCTCTAGTCTATTCTTATTGAGATAAATCAACTGTAATTTTTTGTAGTCAAACTTGTTTAGCAAAAAAAATAATATTTCTTTTTTTCTCTCCCTCCCTCCATCTTTCTTAACTTTGGGAACAGCTGAAGGTAAACTGAGTTGTAATTTTGCCTTTGTTCTATGAGCTTATTATAAAAATTTAGTTTGAATGATGAGTTCCAGACCTAATTGAAGAGAAGCAAATAAAGCAATAATAAGTCAATGTTGTTTTGAATAAGTTTACCTCAGGTCTCACACCTTCCCATCCTATTGGTCAGCTCTCTCCCTCCCGCCCTCCCTCCCCCCTCTCTTTCCAATTCCAATTCATCAGTAAATCACACGGAATAATCCATTCCTAAGATCACAATTGGTCCTCAACTTGCTTTCTTTTGGACAAAGCATCTTACTTAATTGCCAAACAGTGAAAAGAAGTGATATTCCATTATTTTGAGGCACAAAATACATGCATGGTAAACCTTAATTAGGTACAATTCCAGAAGCATTATACTCACACCAAGAAAAGCAAACAAAAACAAAAACAAAAAAATTTCAGCCCATCAACATGCAAGGTAAGTGCACAATTTTATTTCATTACTTGGTTTCCCAATTGTCTCTGTCCTTCCTTCCAATGCTACGTAATCCTTGAATTCCCCCCAAATATTGCCTTTCCCTGCCCCAAATGTGAACCTGGCCTTCAAAGCTATTATTGAAATGGAGAAGAATGTTTACTGTTATACTTACAATCACAACATGTGGAAACNTTTTTTTAATGCTGGTTTTTAATGTCTTGATTGTACATTGTAGATTTTGGGGGGATTTTTTAAAAAGAAAAAAATGAACTTTTGTGTTTGTAGTTTGTATTTATTTTATTTTAAATAAAATTAAAATAGAATATAAAAAATTCTGGCTTGCCAGGCAAGATACAAATTAGAGATCTGACCATGAAAAGAAGTAAGTTTCTTGCTTTCTTCTTCGGATAACTAATATTTTTCAGAAATCTAGCTTCGTTTGAGCTGGATCATTGAATAGAAATCAAACGTTCTTTATTGTCCAATGACTGCACAGAGATTTTTTTTTTAAATCTCCCAATTGGACCCTCCTTGTGATAATGGATTCTCAAATGCATTTGAGAACTAAATTTGGGTTCTTTTTAAACCTTTTTATTATAGGCAAGCGATGGAGCAGCAGCAGCAGCAACGCCAAGAATCCCTGGAAAGAAGAACCTCTACCACAGGCATGTATCATGCTTTTGGAAGCCAAGAGAGAACTACTTCCCCACCTCTTGATTTTCCCTATTAACTTCTGGCTGTTCCTTGTGCTTTTATTGAAAAAGTTTGGCTTCTCGTCTGTTGCTGCAATTATTCTGTGGTTTCCGTTACTAAATTCATACATAATGCATACAGGGGTGTTTTTGCATTGAAATGCAATGCAGCAGGTAGTGGGTTTTTTAAATTATTCTTTCTAATTTTTGTTAGGGTGTTTTTACTGTTAGGAATTAAATCAATTTTGCTTGAAATTACCCAAAGTGCAAATAGAAAGGTCATAATGATTACATTCTCACATTCTATCTTTATTTCACATAGAAACATAGCACAAATAACAAGAGAGAGTTCACTTTGTACCCCAAGATTCTTAATTTTGTATGTCTGAAAATTCTCTTTAATTTTTTATATAGTGTGATTGTGATTGTTCTTTTGTCTTTCTCACAAAACAACAGGTTGTTTTAAATTGGAAATTAGTTTTTCTATGTCTGTACCAATCTCCTGCTTCCCACATTGTCCATGCTTCCATAATTATGTAGTTTGGGAGATCTTATGGAAAGAATGAAGTTGCATTCGCTCTCTATAGAGATACCTCTTCAGCATGGGAACTGACCGAAATTAGTCAGCTGTGCATTATAGTCCTCACTTACTTAGTTTCTGCAATAGATTTGTTATTGAAGTTTATGTATAGATGTGGCAACTACACAGACATAGCAGCCCAAAAATTTAACAACATGCAAAAGAACTTTAACGTGGTGCAACATGGTTTGCAGTATGCCTAATCATAATTGGTTGTGAATTACTGCTTCTCTGAACAGAAGGGTATCATCTGTAGTTAAGAGATAATCCACACGGGGCATAGAATTCCACCACTGTGATCACAGGGATAGTCCAGGTTTGTCTTCCCCATAGAGGTATCAGGTATGTTGGAAATAGGTGCCAGAATTGCCAGTCATTGTGGCCACTGATAAATAATAATAGGGAATTTTGGGAGCTCGAGTGAAGAAGAGTATGATACATAAGTTAATGATTGCTTTGGACCAATCAACTTTATTGGGTACTTTAGCAATACTACTACAAAACAGATGTAGATGTAATTAATATTGGGAAAAGATTCTATGGGTCACCCTATAAATCATAACGAAGAAGGATACAGGTACAATATAAGTAAGGAAGCACAATATAAAAAAGTGGTATGTGAATACAACAAATAGAAACAAGTTTGGCAAATAAGAATCTATGTTAGATGGGTAGGGTCTTGAAAGTGGGTTTTTAATAAAATTGGTTGTAAAGTTTAAAGTCTACTAATCACAGGGCAGTTCAGTGCTGTGTCTTCTGTTGGCTCTAAACTAAACAAATTAGCAGCTTTTCTGGCTTCTTCTGAATAACCATGATACCTGTATCTTCACTAATCTTTTTAACTATTAAGCATTGGGATCATTTTGATTTATTTTTTGTTTCATTCCCTTTTCCCCCTGTCTTCTAACCATGATGCTTTCTGTCATTCCTCAGTGCCAACCCATATTATTCTTTTTCCCTTTTCTGTTCTTTATAGTCTCCACCATTCAGATTAAAGTGTCTTCTTCCCCTTTTCACTGCCAGTCTCCTCCTCCTGACTACAGTAACTACAATGCTTCTACTTCCACTGGTGCAATTGTTCCTCCTCCTCCTTCTTATGCCAAAGCAGTCTCATCAGCATCTGCTGTCCCTGAACCTGATAGCAAGGCCTCTTTCAGATCTGCTCAATCCCCTCTGCGTAGCCATCAGTATTCTCCCTCTGAATTCCCACCATCTCCTGGCCCTTCCTTTCCACCAACTTGGCCAGGTTACAGAACTGTTACACGAAGCACCAAGGAAATCTCTTTATCTCCACCTCTTGCCTCTGCTTCCCCACATCAGTCCATAAGATGTTCTTCCCTGTCATATTCTCCTCAAGCTGCTTCTCCTCCTCTGACCTTTACATCCCCTATACAGAAGGGGCTGATTCTGCAGCCCCATATTCCAGTAGTCCTTCCTGTGATTGCTGCCCAGAATGGCAGACTCCAGGGGCCTACAGATGCAGTGGTCCAAGATGCCTCAGCAAATGTACCTCAGTCAGGTCTGAACGGCCGACATGAAGATTGTTTAGTTACACAAATTCCTCTAAGCTCCTCTAGGATGCAGCCAAAGAGAAAAGATCAATCTTTTTTCTCCTATTTAGAAGCAGTGCCCATTTCACATTTACCTGTTGTGACCAGCCCACCTGGGTCCTTTATCCAGGCTTTTTCTTGGCCCTCCCAACAGTTGCCTCATTCTCCACACCAGCTCTATCCATCTATGTCACACTTTGTTTCATTACACCCTCATTATGCTGCTTTTTCTGAGATGAATTTGTCCAAGAGGACTCCTTCTTACATGGCTTCATCTACCTTTTCCCACATGAGTAAGTACTTGCACTTGAAAATATGTAGATGCATTTCCTTTTTTAACACATATGTTTTAAATAAATATATATTTATATAGCAAAACACAGTCTTCAATGGTTAAAAAAACCTGTTTTCCATTCAGTCTTTTAGTAACCCTTTAGGTGCTTATGATGAATTCATGATATAAACTACCATCTAGAGCAGTGGTTCTCAACCTGTGGGTTGCGACCTCTTTGGGGGTCGAACGTCCCTTTCACAGGATTCGCCTAAGACCATCCACCTCCACAGGTGTCGCCCATGCTCAGGAGCACGTACTGAAGCGGCAGGTGCATAAAGAGGACCGG